CACTAAGATTTTTAACTAAGGTATTTAGTAAGAATAGTTATTATATTGAATCATAATTAAAATAATTTATAAACAACAAATATTGAACACCCACAAAATTATTATTCTTAATAATGTCTTGTTAGTGATTGAATTGAGTCAATTTAAAATTAACTTTTACACTAATGTATAATTCAGATAGACTGTAGACAAAATTAATTAATAAATTTTCTTTAAAGAATAATTAAAAGATGGGTTTTCACAATCTACCCTCCTAAAAGAAAATTTCGTCCTCGAAATTAATTCGTACCTTTAGACTCGAATAGTTGAGGGTAATTGATACGTATCACATCTTCTCGCTCCCACGTTGACTCTTCCGTCCCACGATGTCTCCAGAGAACTCGAACCAATGGTATAGTTTTGCCTCGTAATTTCTTCTTGCGACGATCTAAAATCTTGACAGGCTTTTCTTCAAATGTCACGTCTTCATCAAGATTAATTTCCTCCCAATTGATGATGTGAGAAGGGTGTGGCTCGGATTTCCGTAGCATAGAGACGTGGGAAACATTATGCACTCCAGCCAGTTGAGGCGGTAGAGCCAAACGGTACGCCACTTCTCCTATTTTGTCCAAAATTTCGAAAGGCCCTATGAAGCGAGGTGACAACTTTCCCTTCTTTCCGAAACGAACAACTCCTCGGCGAGGCTGTATTTTCAGAAACACATGATCTCCAACTTTAAATGCTAAAGGTCTTCTCCTTTGATCTGCATAGCTTTTCTGCCTACTCTGAGCGGTCTCAAGCCTTTGCCTAATTAGTTTCACCTTCTCGGTAGTTTCCTGAACTAACTCTGGCCCTAAAAGAGGTGCTTCTCCGACTTCTGTCCAACATATTGGTGATCGGCAAGGCCGTCCGTACAAAGCTTCATACGGTGCCATACCAATACTTGCTTGAAAACTGTTATTGTAAGAGAATTCGACTAGTGGTAAATATTTCTCCCAACTACCTTTAAAGTCCATCACACAAGCTCGAAGCATGTCTTCTAAAGTCTGAATTGTTCTTTCCGATTGACCGTCAGTTTGAGGGTGAAAAGCTGTACTAAAACACAACTCTGTACCCAAGGCCTTTTGCAGACTTTGCCAGAACTGTGACGTAAAACGAGAATCACGATCTGACACTATTGAGACTGGTACTCCGTGCAATCTAATGATTTCTCGAATAAATAATCGACTTAAAGATTCGAGTGTGGCTGCTGGTCCTATTGGTAGGAAATGTGCCGTCTTAGTTAATCGATCAACCACCACTCAAATTGCATCATGGCCTTGCGGCGATCGGGGTAATCCCGTTACAAAATCCATTGTTATGTGTTCCCATTTCCACTTAGGTATTGGTAAAGGTTGGAGTTTCCCTGCCGGCCTTTGATGTTCTGCCTTCACTTGCTGACACGTCAAGCACTTAGATACGAATTGAGCAACGTCCTTCTTCATTCCACTCCACCAACACTGTTGCTTAAGATCCTGGTACATCTTATTTCCTCCCGGATGAACCGCAAAAATCGAATGGTGAAATTCTTTAAGTACTTCCTCTCTTAATTGTTCGATGTTTGGCACAAAAATTCTACCTAAATACCTTAAACTACCATCTTGATGGAGCGTCCAATCTAGTGAAGATTCCCCGGACACTAATCGGGCCTTGATGGAGTCGGTCTCCTGATCAAACCTTTGGGCTTCCAACACTTTGGTAAGAAGTTGGGGTGTTGTAACTATTGTAAACAACCTACCCTTCCCATTCTGAGTCTCTGGTTGTAACTTAAACTCATTCACGATGCTTACCATTTCCTATTCTTTAATTGATATGTTGGCTACAATCTCCCTTGTCTTTCGACTTAGTGCATCTGCTACAACATTGGCCTTCCCGGGATGATAAGATATGGTGAATTGGTAATCTTCAAGGTACTCCATCCAGCGTCTCTGCCTCATGTTCAATCTCTTTGTGTGAACAAGTACTTCAAGCTTTTGTGATCGGCAAATATCTCAAACTTTTTTCCATAAAGGTAATGTCGCCAAGTCTTAAGTGTATAGACCATAGCTGCCAACTCCAGATCGTGAGTAGTATAATTTTTCTTATGATTCTTCAATTGTCTTGATCCGTAAGCCACTACCTTCCCGTTTTGCATTAACACACTACCTAACCCTTCTTTAGAGGCATCACAGTAAACAGTGTACCCAACGTCGCGTTCGGGTATGATTAATATTGGAGCGCTTGTCAGTCTCTTCTTGAGTTCTTGAAATGACTGTTCACACGCTTCGTTCCATTCAAACTTTACTCCTTTTTGCGTTAGGCGTGTCATCGGCTTTGCTAATTTGGAGAAATCCTGAATGAATCTCCTATAATAACCTGCTAATCCCAAGAAACTACGAATCTCAAACGTATTCTTAGGTTGTTTCCACCCCATTACTGCTTCTACTTTAGCAGGATCCACTGATATCCCTGATTCAGACATAACATGACCTAAGAACTTTACTTCCTTCAGCCAAAATTCACATTTGCTAGCTTTAGCATACAATTGGTTTTCTCTTAGAATTTGCAAAACGGTTATCAGATGTTGCTCGTGGTCTTCCTCTGATCGTGAGTATATCAAAATATCGTCAATGAATACTACCACAAATTGGTCCAAATAGGGGGTAAAAATTTTGTTCATTAAACTCATGAATACCCCAGGCGTATTCGTCAAACCAAATGGCATTACCACAAACTCATAGTGGCCATAACGGGTTCGAAACGCAGTTTTGGGTATATCTTCTCCTCTAACATGAAGATGGTGATATCCCGACCTAAGGTCAATTTTGGAAAAACATTTTGAACCTCTTAATTGATCGAACAAGTCATCAATTCTGGGTAAAGGATATCGATTTTTAATGGTGGCTCGATTTAGTTGTCGATAATCAATGCACAATCTTAAGGTTCTGTCCTTCTTCTTCGCAAATAATGCTGGCGCTCTCCAAGGGGACGTGCTTGGTCTGATGAACTTTTTATTCAACAGTTCTTGTAACTATTCCTTCAATTCTTGAAGTTCAGCTGGCGCCATACGATGTGGTGCTATTGAAATCGGCGAAGTCCCAGGTTGAAACTCAATCGTGAAATCTACGTCTTGTTTTGGGGGTAATCTCGACAATTCGTCAGGGAAAACGTCAGCGTACTCGCACACCACATGGGGTAATCTTGGATCCTCTCGATTTTCGTCTTCCAAAATTAGGCTTGCCAACCATCCATTTAGTATCATGCCATCGCGACTTGCGACACGTTGGAGTTAGAGAATCTTGTTTATCTCCTTGAAATTGAACTTTCGTGCCGTTAAGGGGGGATACTGTCACTGTCTTACAGTAACAATCAATAATGGCTCGATGAACTGACAACCAATCCATTCCTAGGATGACGTCAAAATCAGACATATCCATAACTCTTAGATCACAGATCAGAAATGAACCGGAGATTTCTAGCTCACAAGATTTACATACTAGATTTACTCGAGTTTGACCTCCTAAGAGTGAAGCGACACTCATAGCTATCCCTAGCATCTCTGGCTCTAGACCCAAACTTGTCACACATGCAGTGGATATAAAAGAATGCGAAGCTCCAGAATCAAACAATACTTTAACCCAAGAATTCATAAGGATTAACATACCTTGAATCACTGATGGGTTATCAACATCTTCTTCTTCTTGGAGAGCATACATTCTCCCTACTACTTGTTGGTTAGTCTCTCCTAGTTTCTTCCCATTTCCAGCTCCTTGTGGTTGTGTTCTTGGTCGGCCTGCATTCCTAGAGGCTTGTGGCTGCCCCTTGTTGGTCTGAGTATTTTGAGTAGGCTTAGAACCTTGCCCAGGTTGGCATCTGTTGTATTGTTGTGCCCCTCGCTGATCCATAAAATACTCCCCACCTTGAGGACACTCACTTCGACGATGCCCCTGTTGACCACATCTGAAACATCTTCCTTTCCACTCATTTACAAAGTTTCCTCCTTGATGGTTTCCTCGATTCTGCCTTTGTTGCAGTTGCATCCCTCCGATATAAGGTGCTGGCGCAGAATGGTTTCTAGTGTTACGGACTGGGCCTCCTCCGCGTGGTTGGTTGTTGTTCCTTGATCGCTGATTTCGAATGCGTTCGGAATCTGCTAACTCTCGTTCCACAATTAAAGCTCGATCCACCATCTGGGCATAGGTAGAGAGTTGCACTGCGATCAATCTTCCTCTAATGTCTGTGTCCAAGCCCCATTCAAATCGCCTAACCTTATCCTCTTCATTTGCTACTATGGCTGAAGCGTACCGTGAAAGAGCTTCAAAACGATTCGCATATTAAGTGACTGGCATTTTTCCTTGTTTCAGTTGGAGGAACTCTTGAATCATTTCTTGTTTTAGCGAGTTAGGAAAATACTTTTCCATGAACAGATCTTCGAACTGTCTCCAAGTTAATGTCTCTACTTGTTGAGTACCCTTGATCATTTCCCACCAATGATCTGCTTCCCCTTCCATTTGAAATGCCGCCATGGTCACTCTATCTTGTTCATTTCGGATGTCGGAGGTATCTAGCAACTTCTTAATTTGTCTTAACCAAGCTTCAGCTTCATGGGGGTTTGGTCCACCAAGGAATTTGTGGGAACGTAGCTTTTCAAATTTTGCTATCATCTCCGATTTGTTTTGATCTTGGTTTCGGGATGGTATATTGCCTACCCTATTAGCAATCGCGTGTATAATTCGAGCGACATCGCCATCAGGCACTCCATCACCATTACCGTTGTTATTATTTCTTGTTCGTCCAGCCATTCTGCATGATGGGATTTTCTTGTGATTTATTCATTTATTTATTATCATTATTATTATTATACTTATGTGCAAGGATAGTAAAAAAAAAAAGACTTCATTAATTAGATTAGATAAGCTACAATTAGCAAAATACAAATAAAACAAAGGAAAAGATTAAATAATATATTACGGTACAATCCGAGTTGACTCCTACACTCACAATTCTAAACTAGGCAATTTTTAGATGTGAGCATACAAAACAATCAGTTAGCCTAGCTTATAGTTCCCTTAAGATCCCTTAAAATAGCCAAGGAAAGTCTCTCCACACCAGGGCTTCCGGCTCCCATGTGGCTTGGAAAAGTCCCATGAATCGCCACAGCACCCTTACGAAGATAGCAGTTTCGCACACACGATGCCCTAGCAGCAGCACTGGCTCCTCCCGATAAGTCCTCCAGTCCCTGAAGTTCACTGACCCATCTCTCCTCACAATTCTACTTGGGTCGGGCATGATACACTGAAGGCTCCAAAAGTCAAAAAGGTCGCCCACCCTATCAGTGAAACCATCCGGGAAAGGGCCTAATTGATATACCCAGGGAGTCTTTTGTCCTAGAATCTGGACAGGTCCGATATAGGTACCCATCCAACTCTCAGCTTTCCAAGCACAACCTCCTAGGGGATAAAGTCTGACATATACAAAAGAGCCATCTGCAACCCGTTTCGCACATCCCAACCCTCAAACGTGGCTCCTGTATCTCCAGTGTTCTCCTTGGTATTGCCTTCCATAGACTCATCTTCAGTGCCGACTCAATCACAATAACCGCCGGGGGGTTGTATACTGGTACAACTTCTTCAACTTCATCAGACTCAGACTCAGGCTCAAGTTCAGGATCAGGATCAGGTTCAGGGTCACGCTCAAGCTCAAATTCATAGTCTTCTATAGGCATCTCCACTTCTTCACTTGGGTCAGATTCTATGGATTCATAGTCTTCTACCGAACTTTCCTCGTTAGAGTTAATGTCTGATGACCCTGGCATCCTACAAATAAAAAGGTTCTAACTTAGTCAAGTCACTGCAAAATACAAATTAACGTAAGGTTTTTTTTTTTTTAAAAAAAAACAAACTTCAACCCATGGCCCAAAGGTTCAAACCTAGGCTCTGATACCAAACTATGACGCACCAAATTTTTTTTTGAAACGCCATAAGATTTAAATAACGATAACTTGCTAGATAAAGTTTTAACTACTAATTAGGAACTTTTAAGTTCTTACAAAGCCAAAGTCCAACGACAAAATAAAACTACAAGTTCACACACAACGTCACAACATAGTTTAATCCTAATACAAGGGATAACAGGATTTTATTTTGATAAAATCTTGACTCTAAGTCAGCCAAGGTTCGATATTGGCAACAGCTCCAATTTCAGCCTCAGTCCCTTCTTCGACATAATCTGGCATGAAACGCCAGGGCAACAAAATATATGCCATGAGTTTTGCAACACAGTAAGAAAACGTAACCAACCTACCATTCTTTTTAAGAGAAAAATAATAATATTCTAAACATGAGATAACAATATAATTATACACAGAATTTACAACCATTAGAATAATTTCAGTAATTTTTATAAATTAGGTGACACTCGAAATCTCACCAAAGAGATTTAACTTACCAACCACTAAGCATGGCAACGGTTAATTTGAAACCCTCCCTTGGTCAAATATTTAAGTGTTACCAACCGTAACTACCAGGGATGCTGTAGACACCCCATTTTTGACCGACCTTAAGACTCAGACATCACCAATTGAGCGCTCGGTGACGCTGCATATCGTGCTCGTTCAGAAGTCTCAGAGTCGCGGCCGTGAGCCCTGCCTCCGGATTTCCGAACCCTCTTCTGTGCCTTGTCTCGGTTTGCGAACCAGACTTGTTTTTCTCTGTTTCTTTTCCTGAGGGGAGGGAGAGGTCCCGTAGACCATCTCTTAATGGCCGTGGGCTACATTTTGTGGCCATAGGCCATTTTGCCCATTTCGGAGCCCGATTTCCGGTTTTTTGGGACTGTTGGCCGTGTGCCTCAGTTCGGGACCGCCTAACCATCTCCATTTGCTCTGAGTTTTGGAATACTTCTTATTTTCTCCCTTTTGAGGGACACTGGGGTCTGAGAGACCCACTTCGGGGTCGAACACCACTTTCGGTATTTAACAGGCAGTTTTCGGGGCCCCGAACTGCGCGTTTTGGCCCCCGAGCATTCGTTTTGCATCGATTTTCGTTCATTTTTGGCAGGTACCTCGGTTTTATCACCAGGAAGGCCGTAGAAGGAGGGGAGGCCAGCAATTGTTGCAGCAACCAGTTATATTCCTCCGGCGCCCTCCGACGCCCATTTTTTCTCACTTCCGAGCCAATATTGAACAACCTTGGGCCATTTTCTTGAACTTTTAACCACATATTTGTGTTGTACACACATGGGAGGACAGCAAAATTTGGTGGCCGGCCAGTAATTCCACCTAACCCTTTTGAACCCTTCCTAAAAATGGCTTGTTTTCTCTCCTGTTTCACTGTTTCCAATTTTGAACCACAGGGTTGTGTTGAGGGCACCTGGGAGGACACCTATTTGTGGTGCGGCCAGAAAAATCTGTTTGACTTTTTTGACCCCCTAGCCGGCCGGCATGGAGTAGCCGGTCTGGCCACCTGCAACTCCAAAAAAGTGGTCCGGTCATGATCCTTGCAATATGTACTTACAGCTGGCATAGCTGTTGTCCAAATATCTACATCCGGGGGACAGCCTTTGGGGAAAAGACTTGGTCCTTTTCCCCCACTCTTTCCCTCCATGCTCCCCCTCTCCTTGGTCCATATAACCAGCCTCCAACATTTGTTTTAAGAGTTAGAGAAAATTGCTTTCAAGTCTTGCATCCAAATCTCTCTCTCATTTTCTTAAAAATTCCTAAGTCTTATACCTCATTTCTTCATCACCACCCAGCACCACCACCACTACTCCATTTCCAGCAGCTAGGAAGCATCACTTCTCAAGCCAAGAAGCAACCAAAGACTTGTCTTCAAGGGTGAGTACCATTTTCCTCTTTTTTGGCTTATTTTTGCATCATTTGTAAGTCATACATGCTTGCTGTTTTGAGCTCCGACCAAAACTCAAAAGGTCATTTTTTTGAGTTCATTTTCTTGTTTCATTAAGGGCTCAACCCTGTTTGAGCCCCCCATATTGCACTTGCTTCAATATCCTCCTTGAATGCCATTTTCTTGCATGATATTTTTAGCCTATATGTGATCTGTTTTGGAGCATGATGTAAACTGTAAATAGGCTTATATTGAGCCTCTATTCAACATTGAAGAAGGGATCACTACTGTTTGGGACCTCCATGTACCACTTGTCATTATATCTCTCTTTGGTCCCCCATTTTTGCATAATTTATTAGCCTATTGTGCTTCCATTTTTGGACGGTTTTCAGAACTGAAAAAGGTTTTATTTTGGCTTTCTCTTCATGTTTCATTGAGGGTCTGTCATGGTTTGAGGCATATTTTATACACTTTGTATTATATCTCTCTTTTGGTCCCCATTTTTGCATGATTTATTAGCCTATTGTGCTTCCATTTTTGGACGATTTTCAGAACTGAAAAAAGCCTTATTTTGGACTCTTCTTCATATTTAATTAAGGGTATTTCACTGTTTGAGACATCCTTCATATACTTTGTGTTATATCTCTCTTCTTTGGCCATATTTTGCATGATATTTTTGGCTTGTATGCATGCTGTTTTGGGTCTGGCCATCAACTGTAAAAAGCATTATTTTTGGTCCCTCTTTAGTATTGTAGAAGAGTCTTTCTCTTTTTGGACTTTGTATCTACCACTTGCTCCTTTGTCCATCTTTTGACCCATTTCTTGCATGAGGGTTTAGCCATATCTGTGCTGGTTTTTGTGGTTTTCCATAAACTGTAAAAGATCATGTTTTGGGCCCCTATTCAACTTTGTTGAAGGGCCCTAATCTGTTTGGGGACAGCAGCTGTGAGTTGCTTCTTTATCTCACATTTAGGGTCATTTCTCGCAGGCTAGTTTTGCCCTGTTTCTGTTTGCTGTTTGGCCATGCTTTGAACTGTAAAAGTGCTTATTTTGGGGCTTCCTTGCTTCTGTCTTTTCATTCCATGTACCAATTATGCATGCTTTGTATAGCTGTAAGCCATTTCATGTACCTAGTTTTGCATTTCGGGAGAAATTCCATGCATCGAGTGTCATTTCGCCATGTTTCGGGGCTGTTTTTCCCCTCATTTTGCTACTGATTTTTGCATGTTTGCATATCATATTCCATGTCTTTTCCACGTCTCATTAGAGTGGCATTTCGGTGCCTGAGGGTCGGTCCTCGGTTTGCGTGCACGCGTGCACGCATTTCGAGTTGTCTTGTTTTCATCTGATGGCCTCCTATGTGAGTGTGGCTGAGGCTCTCTCATGTTGGTGTAAGCCCATTATTGCATTGCGTATGCCATTTCATCCATAGCATTGTGTATGCTCGGTTGTGGTGTATACTAGGTGTTGGGGTTTTGTTGGTGTGTGCAGATACTATGAGGGTGTCCTTGCTCAATGTTTTGGAATGAGTATTTGTTAATTGGGCTGCAACCTACCCGTGAAGATCTTTGGGAGCTCAGTATAGTTTAGAGTGGCTCAGTTTATTTAGTGATCTCTGTGAGCTCAGTATAGTTAGAGTGGCCCTTGGATGAGCAGTATGACTGGTGTTCATAGGTTTGCTCTACTGGTTCAGGTTCAGGTTGCTGGTTCAGGTTCTAGTTTGTTGATTGGGTTGCCTTACAGATATTCTTGGACTGCTTAGCAGTAGAATAATACAAGGCCCTCAACTTTATTTTTCTTCAAATTCAAGAACTATCCTGGCTGTTGTACATTAGGTTCTATTTTGTTAGGCTCTTGCACATGCAGTTTGCTCTACTGTCAACTGGTAGGCTGCTTGCTGCTGATCTGCTGTTGTATGCTGGTTTTGTGCAACTTATTGGTTTGAGCAGCTACTGCTGTAT